ATGCAGGCTATGCATTTGCCAGCAAAATTAACGGAATTTCAAACAAAAAACTTATTTATTTGGATGAAACTGAATTTAATGTGCACACTAACAACACATATGGCTATTTGCTAAGAGGTACGCCAGCAATTTTCCAGTCACCTGCAAAGCGTGGCAAAAATCTTTGTTTAATTTGTGTTGTTCCAACAATTGGAGTGCTTGCCCAGTAGGCACATGAACGTTTTTAAAACTTTTTTTTTTAACTAATAAATAAAACGTTTTTTAAACGTTCAAAATGGCAAAACCTAATTAACGTTTTCAAAAAAGCGTTTAAAAAACGTTCAAAAAAAGTTGTTAAAAAACGTTCTAAAAAAACATTTAAAAGACGTTCTTAAAAAACCCAACAAAACCATAAAAAAACATATATATATATATATATATATATATATATATATATATATATATATATATATATATATATATATATATATATATATATATATATATATATATATATATATATATATATATATATATATATATATATATATATATATATGTATATATATATATTTATATATATATATATATATATATATAATATATATATATATATATATATATATATATATATATATATATATATATATATATATATATATATATATATATATATATATATATATATATATATATATAGTTATATATAAAAGTATTTTTGTTAACAAAATCAATAGCACAAATTGCTTTAAATGATTACATTTGAATAAAATACATATACATAAAATTACATACATAAAAATACATTACATACATAAAAATACATTACATACATAAAAAATACATTCATTATATATAAAAAATAAGAATATACTAATAAAATATATAATATATTTACAAAACGTTGACAAGTTAAAAAATAAAAATTTAAACCAAATATTGTAAGTTTAAAACATTTATAGCTTTGCAGATGTGACGCCAAGGATTAAAATAATAGTTCGTTTCATAGTATATTCTTAAAATAATTTATGCTAGAAATCTCATCAAAAACGCAACAAAATTCAAAAAATAATATCTTAAAAAATATTTCCACAGAATACTTAGGACATTCATATTTTTTGAATACTTTAGAAGTTTCGGTTAGTATTTTTTAAACCCATAGAATTAGTTGTTCGTAGATTTTTTTGCGGGTTTTTTGTGTTTGCAATATATATATATATATATATATATATATATATATATATATATATATATATATATATATATATATATATATATATATATATATATATATATATATATATATATATATATATATATATATATATATATATATATATATATATATATATATATATATATATATATATATATATATATATATATATATACAATATATATATATATATATATATATATATATATAGTTATATATAAAAGTATTTTTGTTAACAAAATCAATAGCACAAATTGCTTTAAATGATTACATTTGAATAAAATACATATACATAAAATTACATACATAAAAATACATTACATACATAAAAATACATTACATACATAAAAAATACATTCATTATATATAAAAAATAAGAATATACTAATAAAATATATAATATATTTACAAAACGTTGACAAGTTAAAAAATAAAAATTTAAACCAAATATTGTAAGTTTAAAACATTTATAGCTTTGCAGATGTGACGCCAAGGATTAAAATAATAGTTCGTTTCATAGTATATTCTTAAAATAATTTATGCTAGAAATCTCATCAAAAACGCAACAAAATTCAAAAAATAATATCTTAAAAAATATTTCCACAGAATACTTAGGACATTCATATTTTTTGAATACTTTAGAAGTTTCGGTTAGTATTTTTTAAACCCATAGAATTAGTTGTTCGTAGATTTTTTTGCGGGTTTTTTGTGTTTGCAATATATATATATATATATATATATATATATATATATATATATATATATATATATATATATATATATATATATATATATATATATATATATATATATATATATATATATATATATATATATATATATATATATATATATATATATATAAGGCTTGGTCGGGAAGCAGGTACGATCGCACTCAATAAACGACCACAGAAATATTACTTAGTTGCGAAAAACCGGCCAGATTTTTTAGTCGTTTTGAGAACATTTCAAAAACAAACAAAAATTTGCATTAAAATTAACTGGACCGATCAGAGACAGTTAAAAAAAGAAAAATAGGTTTTACGCGAAAAAAATTTTAATAAAATAAAGTTATTAGAGCAAATCAAATTTATTTTTGAAACGTTGCTTTTTAATTACTTTTTTTATAAACATAAGCGACATTTTTTATATAAAGTAACAAATATAAATAAACAAATGTTCTTTGATTTATTAAAGAGTATATATAATTTTGATTAATATACTTATGTCTTATTTCCAGTGCTGGATTGAGGAGTCGAGGTGGGGGTAGTAGGGCTATAGCACCGGGACTCACAATGTTAGGAGAAATAGTCAAGAGAACCATTCGGTATTTTTTTTAGTCATTTTAACTCTGTGACATATAAAACGGCCGCCAAAATAATGCAGACCCCGGCCCTGAAAAGTCCAACAAGATTCAACCAGATGATTTATTTATAAATAAAAACGTTTTTTAAATAGCTGTTTTATGCTTTGCGTAGTTTAAAAAGTTCAACACATTTGAAATAATTCTTCTTAGTAAGATAAACAAATAAAATAATAATATCATTGAGTTACTGTATAATATCAATTAGTTAAGAAGAAATTAACAATGCTTCATAATTTTAATTAGTATTTAAAACAGAGAAAGTACCTTTAAGTATAACGAGTTTGTAAGAATGGCCGAAGCAAAAATAATCTAAGTTAGTAAACCAATTTCTAAGAACTTTTTTGTTAAAAACTTTTCTTTCTTGGGAGAAAGAATCATTTATCGGGTACACTGAGGAAAATGGATTAATGGTTAAAATTTTCTGTATTAATTTTGCGATTATTAATAACTTCATTGAAAACGCAGTTATTATTGAAAGTATTTTTGTTAACAAAATCAATAGCACAAATTGCTTTAAATGATTACATTTGAACAAAATACATATACATAAAAATACATACATAAAAATACATTACATACATAAAAAATACATCCATTATATATAAAAAATAAGAATACACTAATAAAATCTATAATATCCCAGACAGCAAGCTTACATTGGCCCAACGTAAGTTTTAACATTGGCAAGTTTATTCCGTTGAGCCAACATTTAGCCAATGTTTTTTTTCGGCGTATTATTTTCAATTCTGCAAATTGGTTTTTTGCAAATATCGTACTATATTGGGCCAACATTTAACCAATGCTTTTTTTTCGGCGTAGTATTGCAATTCTACAAATCGGTTTTTTGCAATTATCGTACTACGTTGGGCCAACATTGGGCCAATGTAGTTTAAGCTTAATATTTTGCTGTTCTTACATTTATACCGTAGCCAATATTCGGCCAATGTAGTTGCGGATTAGTATATACTTTAAAATTTGTTGCAAAACATTTTTAAAAATGGCATTCTTTGACAGAATAAAAAAAAGTTTTGAGATTAACTTTCCATTTTTTTAAATTATAAAAATAAAAAAAAGAAGGTATATTTATAAATCTTCAAAAAATCTTAAAAGGTTCCTTTTAAGAAATAAATTTCAAGAGATTCTCGTGACTTAATGTTTTGTTTTTTTAAATATTGAAATATTTGTAAACATTTAAACGTAATGCTTAAAACATTTTTTACTACAATCTAAATTATTAGTGTAACAATAAAGGCAATAATCAAATTATTTTTGTGTAAGATCTTAAAGTTATTTTTTTTATTTATATTGCTGTATTGGCATTTCAAATGTTTGATTTATTTAATAATCTTTATTAAATAAATGAAACATTTTAAATGTTCGATTTATTTAACAAAGAAGACATTTTAAATGTCTTCTTTATTATATAAATCAAAAATTTGAAATGTCATACAGTATAAGTTTTTTTTGTTCATAATTTGTTTATAATAGTTTAGATTGCATAGCTATTATAAAATATATTATTAAAGGTATCAATAATACATATGTGGCATTGAAGTTATTAGAAGCTGATATTTTACATTTTAAGTATGACTCTTTTGTTTGATTTTTTCTGTGTTTGATTGTGAAAGCCCATCTACTAATATATTAAAACTGTACAAAAAGTGATGTTACTAGAATTTATATTCTACTTATATAGAGCTTTCTAATATTGCCAGACATTTGATTTTAAGACCAATGACTAGTCTATAATAATTAATTGAACTATGAGATTAAATCAATAAATAACCATTAAAAACGGTAAAGCTACAGTTACGCAGCCTAAAATAATTTTGCGCTTGTTGTGCCAGGGAATTTCAATACATCAACTATCTTATAGCCTGCTGCTACAAGGATGTGCTGCTACATCGAATGAGGGTTTGGCATGGGCTAGCAATCTTTTTTCACTTTATTATTTCAATTATATTCCTATTGTTTGTAAAGCCTCTATTGACAAGCGGAAAAATAAAATTATTTTAGGCCGCGTAACTGTAGGATTACCATTAAAAACAATTAAAATTAAAAAAACTCAATTTAAATCATTATTTTTATTTTGTCATGATTCAAATCGAAACAACTTTTATATATTTAATCTTTCCGAGGCAGAGGGACATTATTCTTGGTTTAATTATTTTTTAATTTAATATCTCTGGATAATTTTCATATTTAGTTTGCGTACAACTGTTAACAACTTTAAGCTTATACATTAACCTTAGTTAAAACTTAATTATTAATGATTTGATTTATAGATTTTTAAAGCAATACAATATTAAACTTAGCAGAAGGCTACACTTCTGCTCTGGAGAAAAAAAAGGATGACAGCGAAAATGACAAAGAGACAAAAAATTGTTGAAAAAAAAGGAAGACAGCGAAAATGACAAAGAGACCAAAAAACAAAATCTTGGTGTTGATGATTTATCCTCAATTTCTTATAATATAACAAAAAATATTATTAAACTTTGGGATTTACCTGTAACTCGAAACTCTTTACAGAAGTTCAATGTTTACTCTGAGAAGTTGAATGAACAAAATTTATTAAATGGTAAGTTTTTATATAAAAGTCTTTATGTCTGATGAGTGAAAATCTTTATTCATAGCTTTAACTTTTACAATTTTAAAGACTTTTTCATATATTACGGTCAAAAAGTCGGAGTGTTAATTAACATTTTATTGTGTAATAATCAACATGTCAAATCTTACACCACAGGCTTGGTCAGGAAGCAGGAGCGATCGTTCTCGAATACTGACCACAGAAAATATATTTAGTTGTGAAAAACTGGCCAGGTTTTTTAGTTGTTTTGAGAACATTTAAGTTTATGAACGTAACAAAAATTTCTTGTTGGATTTCAAAGTTGGTGTCACCAACTTTGAAAACCATTTGAAATCAAATGTTGAAAAAAACAACAGTATTTGTATTATATCAGTATTGATATCAGTTTATAGTTTTAACTCTTGATGGTGATTCATTATTACTCATTATATAAACGTTTACTTAAATTTATCTAATAGACGAAGGTAATACAATATTTTTATAGATGATATAATTTTTAAAAACAGTGTTATTAAAACTCAGAACTAAAATATGTAAAAAAAATTATTTACAAACATTGGACAAGGTCCGTACTGTACCTTGAAAATCTGGAAAATTTGTTAATATTGGCTAAAGTTGTGGAAAACCTGGAAAAGTCAGGAAATTATTTTTTTCTTTAGATAGTCATGGAAAAATCAGTAATTCTAGTTAAGAAGTTACTCGTTTCACAAATGAACATTGTATTTTGAAAACGTGACGAGTCACACTTTTTTTAAAAGTGAGGTTATTTGAAAAGAATATTTTCAAAAAAATATTCTTTTCAAATAACCTCACTTAAAATAAAAAAATATTAAGATAAAATAAAGATATTTTTAGATAATATAAAGATTGTTTTAGATAAAATAAAGATTTTTTTAGAGAAAAGAAACAATTTTTAGATAAAATAAAAATAAAAATTTTTACAGGAAAAATATTTTTCACTCCCTTTGAAAATTTTAATTTTGTGACTTCTCACATTTTCAAAATACAACGCTCAATTAAGCTATTATGTTTTTTTGGTGTTACCCATTTATTTTTTCTGAAACTTATGCTTTTCTAAGTGTTCATTCTTAGTCGTCATTAAAGTACAACTTGGTAAACTACGAAACACATCAAATTCAGTTATAAAAATTTGAGTAACAAAGGTATGCTAATTATTGTATTGCCTGAAAGAGTGTTATTGCAGTGAAGAATTCAAGTACTCTGGAAGAAAAGAAAATACGTAAGTAAATAGTAAATATTTTTTTATAATTTTTTTATGCATTTTGTATGATATCTTAGTACAATTTATATACTTTAAATAAAATACTCTTTGAAGATTTTTTGTAAATTACATTTTATATTAATTCAAGTCTAAATAAAAGTTACTTTAATTAATGCCAGGTTGTGTATTTTTGCAGGTCAATTATTTGGCACAAATCGGAACTAAAGACAAAGGAGATTGTATATTTTATTTGCTAAGAATAGTTTTTTAAAATAGCCTAGTTGTAAAATTAAACTATGCAGGGAGAGGACAAAAAATTGGAATAGAAAAAATGTTGATTGCATATGCTGCTATTGGTAAGTGGTTTAGAAAAGTTTATTTTTTCAGTTTTAATTTTGCATTACAGAATTACTTTCAATTTGTTATGTTTCTTTGGTGCATAATTAAACAAACAACTATTTTTTTTTTGCAGAAAATGTGAAGTCAAATAAGCATGGCTTATGCAGACATGTGATAGAGATAGAGGAAGAAAAAATAATCATCGTGGGCACCAAATATCATAAGCCAAACGATATTCAATAACAAGTAGCTCAGCCAATATCGAAACTACTCTATAAATTTTATAGTGAATTTTTTTATTTAAAACTCAATGTGTCAGTTTTTGGTTTAAGTTTGGTGTTTGCAATATGTATATTTAACCGATAAATTATGTTAAATAAATAAATTTTTATACTTGTATGTTGTATACAATGTTAGCCTAACGTTATATACAACGTTGTGCCAATGTTGGGTAAACGTTGTATACAACATTGGACCAATGTTGTACACAACATTGGGCCAATACCTAACCAATGATCAAACCTGCATTGGGCCAACATCGACTTTCAACGTTGGGCCAATGTAAGCTTGCTGTCTGGGATATTTACAAAACGTTGACAAGTTAAAAAATATAAATTTAAACCAAATATTGTTAGTTTAAAACATTTATAGCTTTGTATATGTGACTCCAAGTATTAAAATAATAGTTCGTTTCGTAGTATATTCTTAAAATAATTTATGCTAAAAATCTCAGCGAAAAAGCAACAAAACTCAAAAAATAATATTTTATAAAATATTTCAACAGAATATTTAGGACATTCGGTTAGTATTTTTTTAATACTTTAGAAATTTCGGTTAGTATTTTTTAAACCAATAGAATTATTTGTTTGTAGATTTGGAGGGGTTTTTTGTGTTCGCAAATATTCTTTTTTTTATTTTTCCGCACTAAGATGTTTGAAAACATTTAAGTTTATGCGTGTTTCCATGTAATGTCCGTAAAAAAAAATATTTGAAAATTTACGATAAAATAAACTTATTATTTTGCGGACAAACAAGAAACATACATAAACTTAAATGTTCTCAAAACTACATAAAAACCTGGCCGGATTTTCGCAACTAAATATTATTTCCGTGGTAAGTTATCGCGTGCTATCACACCCGCTTCCCGACCAAGCCTGTATATATATATATATATATATATATATATATGTATATATATATATATATATATATATATATATATATATATATATATATATATATATATATATATATATAATATATATATATATATATATATATATATATAAAGTATGATATACCCTAATATAAATATATATATATATATATATATATATATATATATATATATATATATATATATATATATATATATATATATATATTAGGGTATATCATACTTTTGCATGTTATGAATTTCATTCAGTACATCACTTTTCCTATGTATTCATATAACCTGAGTTGAATGTTATAATTTTTTTAGTGAAAAAACAAGTCTTGCTACCGGGAAAACGTTTTTAATTTTCCAAAAATATTGTTTTTTTCTAATTGATGACTATTTATGCTATAAATGTACATAATAATTATTTAAAATACTGTTTAGCCCTATGCCTAATTTTGATAATATGTTTTGAGTTTTTTTAAATATATATATATATATATATATATATATATGACTAGATCGCCTTAAAGTCGCCAAATCGTGTAAAAAATTTCCACGGAAAGTCGACTTGAGTGGAAAGTCGACAAAATTGAGTCGACCTAACGTTTTTCATCTTAGTTTCATCAAATTCAGTCTTACCTATTAGTTTTTTTTTTCTATTTCAATGAAATATAGTAGTTTTTGATTAAAAATACAAATTTGTTTTTTTTTAACTGCCGTCGATAAGTATTTTTTTAAATATCTCATTTTAAGCTTATATATGTAAACAAATTCAAAATATCGACGTAAGGTCGACGGCACTTAATATCTTGAAAATTATGAAGTATAACTGTATATATCATGCTGTTATGGAGTTAAAAATGTTTTCTCTGTCACTCAGTTAAAGTTTTGAGAGTTTTTTAACGGATATCATTGCAAATACAACATATATATGAAATATAGGAGATATACAGTTTTATTTTAAGTCATTTCCATTTTTCTCGTATTTCAAACGAATTTCCTTACTGTGCGGAGTCGCTTTTCCCGGAAACTTGTTTTTTTTTATGAATGTTTTTGTTTTGATTTCTTTATTTTGAAAATTTTGTATGTTTATATTGTTTGTTTATATTGTAGCTGAACTGCTATTTGTTTATATTGTAACTGCTATTTGTTTATATTGTATATTGTAACTGCTATTTTATATAGTTACTGCTAGTTTATATTGTAACTGCTAGTTTATATTGTAACTGCTATTTGTTTATATTGTATATTGTTTATAACTTGTTTATATTGTAGCTATTGTAGTTTGTTTATATTGTAGCTTTTTATTTTTTTGCACTAACTTTAAGAATCTTATTTTAAAACTTTTTTCTATTTTTCGAATTATTTAATATAGACATTTATTTATATCTATAATGTACTAATAAATATATATTTATAAGTATATCATACTATGATATACTTATAAATATATATTTTACAGTTATATATATATTTATTATATATCTATGATTCATAGATATATAATAAATATATATATAACTGTATAATTTATATACTTTTATAGATATACACAATATAAAATTTATACAGCCTTATTATTATATAGCCATGTTATATAGACATTTATTTATATCTATAATGTACTAATAAATATATATTTATAAGTATATCATAGATATATAATAAATATATATATAACTGTATAATTTATATACTTATATAGATATACACAATATAAAATTTGTATGTAAAATATTAACTAAATTATTGTTAACTCGTTATAGCTGCTTCTTTTGATGACTTTAATACCTCTTGTAAGAGTTGACAAGTGGGTTTTTTCTGTTTCATTTATTATACGCAGGTAAATTATTATCAGCATAACTGTGATATAACTGTGATATAACATGATATAACTGTATAATTTGTTATCAGCAATTTCTAAACAACTAAGTTTTTTAATTCATAAAATTTTCAAGTTTTACAAAACTTTTTTTATTATTTCCTTGGAAAAAAAAAATTTATTAAATATAATAACAACTTCAATATTTGTTAAAATAATTATTCATTTAATTTTATTAGTTATTCAATTTAAAACAATTAATAATAATTCAGAACTAAGAATGTTTACATCATCGCCAGTTCATTCGTCAGACTCTGACTATTGGAAAAAGTTAGTTGTCTTTGATTCAGGTAATCTTATTTCAAAGTCTCAAAATATCTAAAACAATTTTTTTGAAATAATGAGTTGATATTTTTTCCAACATGATTATTTTTCATTTTGTATAATTTGAGTAAAATATGTATATGTAGATGAAGATCAGTGCAGTAATGAGAGTGAAGTTTTTCTTCCATTATCCCTTGGTCCATTAAACCAGGTTTTTAGAAAGTTTTTAGCTTAAAAGTATTGTGAATTTTAGATTAAGATTAAATGACTTTGTGTAAAGCTTTTTAACATAGTACTTTCTTAATTAAATATTTCATATATCATATTTAGAAATCTATTATTAACGATTCTGGTTTAATGTGCGATGAAGACCTTGAAATTTTTGAAAGTGGAGAAGAGACAGATGACTTTAGCACAAATCATGAAATTGATTTTGTTGTAATAATGTTTTTTTAAGTTTGTTATTATAAGTCACAGTTTATTTTCAATAAGTTTTTTATTAAAATTTTTTAAGTTAAATTAAAAGATCTGCTTCAGAATAAGTTATAATTTTGATATAATTTTGTACAATAAAAGTTTAAAAAAGCAATTTTAAGTGTGAAAAATGCTATGCGAGACTCAGCAGCTGTAGAATTGCTTACAAAACTAAAGGTGTACCAGATATTTTTGACGGATATGCCTGAAATTAAACTTTTTAAAAGTTATTTATGTGTTTATAAAGAAAAAACAAGTCTTGCCAGTCTACAATAAATAGTATTCAAGATCTTACCTGAAAAAATCAAGAATAAAACTGTTTGACATGGGGTATGTACTAAAGAAGTATAGAAAATAAAAAATAATAAAAAAAACAAAAATTTGTCTGTAAAATTGATTAATCCTTATACATTATCAACACATATACCTGTGTTATATCAGGTTTTTTTTGATTTTATCATTTTAAATCTTAAACACTTTTTAATGTAAAATGGCAAGTTTTTTTTTTCAAGTAAAGCAAACTTTTCAAGTTAGATTAAAAAAAAATAAACTTTAATTAAAAAAATTATTATTGAATAGTATCTATGTTAATAGTTATCTATGTTTTTCACTGTTATTTGTTATTTTTTTTTAAGTCTCATGCTTTGGTAAAAGATACAAATAAAGTATTATATGAAGATTTGTTAACTACAGAACCTTCTAAGTCAAACAACAGCTTATCTGATGAAAAGGTTGAGTTTTTTAAAATTTGGTTGTAAATTCAAAAGAAATGTATATACATCCTAAATTTGGATGTTTTAAAGTAATAATAAATATATTTTTAGTAGTGTTTACTATCAAGTTATTTATTAATAATCAATTTTATTTGTTTTGTTTTTTGTTAGTCTTATTTTATTGCAGTTAGTGGAAATTTTCGTTTGATTTTAAGTTTTGTTGTTAATTTTTTTTTCATATACTATTTAATAATAGTTATTATTTATTATTTAATGTTATTATGTTTAGTTAATTCATTTGTTTTAAGGTTAGACAACTAAACAATTCACATGTGAGACCAAAAAACGAAATCAATAAACTATCTAAAAAAAGTAATCCAAAACCA